GGGGGGGAAGGGGGAGGGGGAGGGAGGAGGGGGGGGAAGGGGGAGCGGGAGGGAGGAGGGGGGGGAAGGGGGAGGGGGAGGGAGGAGGGGGAACAGACGAACCACGAACAACGAGTGAAGCTGCGGCCAAGGAAAGAGTGTACAAGAAGCAGAACTGACCAGTAGGCGTTCTTGAAGGAAGCGACCCCGGGATGATGTTTTGTATTAAAAATTTCATGATTAAATAAAAAAATAGTATAATAATATTTTTTGTTTTCGATATTATTTAATTTTAAAAAATGTTCATCAGATGGGAAGCAACCGGGAGTGCAAATGGCGAAGTATAAGCACTGGATGGGGCTGCCCTTTTCGGGAGCCGCAGCCGTCATGTGGCCAACACATGCGAAGGTTTTCATTCCTCGTTTAGCACATCGTAAGCTAAATGCAATTTCGTTTATGTTGCTGGGCTCTGGAGGCAAACAGAGCACGAAGAGGCAAGTACCATGTCCCCAGGGGGCAGCGGTTTTGCCCCTAGTTGATGGACGGTGGTGACCTGGGATAAAGTTAACCTGCGAGCCGAACAGGAATGGAGTTGGGCCGCTGTTGACCCGGCAGTTTCCGTTGGATGGTGGTGGTGGGTGCGGAACCTGAGCGACCCACTGAGAAGTTGACTAGGTTGAATGGATGAGGGTGCCCCGAAATACCGGGGAAGGCAGGGTTTCGCAGGGTAGCTGCCACGGGTGAAGATATACCCCCCTGTTTCACACATCATATATATGTGTGTATAAATATGTGTGTTTATACACACAAGACAAGAGTGTGCATTGCTTGCTTCTTTTTGCTCCCGTCAGGACACATAAGCTGAATGTTCAGCAAGAGTAATTTTCTGTATACTTTGCTCACTTAACTTCCGGTAAACCCTCAATAGAGGAAGCATAATAACAATAGTCAATGTAGGATTTGGAGCTTACCGGGATCGATCCGGTGACCTCACGCATGCGAAGCGCGCGCTCTACCACTGAGCTAAAGCCCCTTACCTGTGGTGAACTAGACTATATACATCTGTTTCCGAAATTAGTAACTAAAACTACTTGCACTTAAACCCCAGTGATCGGGCCACAATGGATATGTAAGGGAGCCTGCGGCTCAATCACCCGAAGAAAGAGGTGTGGGGGTTTCGCTGTGTGGAGGCCCACACTCCGTGGCATTGAGCCCCCCAGGATACCCGTAGGGCTGCTGAGACGTACAGTCCAGGCTTACGTACCCCTGCCGCCTCTATCCCCTGCCGCCTCTATCCTCTGCCGCCTCGTCCCCTGCCGCCTCCTCCCCTGCCGCCTTTATGGAAGGCAGACTGTGCTGTAGCCCTCAGACAAAAAGGAGAGCAAGAAGACATCTTTTTGCCTTTCTTTTACTTGCTCTCCCTTTCTTCGGGAATGCATCCAAGGAAACTGACGTGCTTCTGATCTTCTTACTTGAACAATGACTCTCACTTTTTTCGGGAACATGTTTCTGGCTTTCTTTTACTTGCTATCCCCTGCCGCTCCTCCCCTGCCGCCACTATCCCCGGCCACCTTCTCCCCCGCCGCCTCTATCCCCTGCAGCCTATATCCTCTGCCGCCACATCCATCCGGAAGCAGTGAATCAGTGAACCGATGGGGGTGGGGTTGAAGGGACAGAGGGGAGAGGACCGTGTTGCGCGGAGAGGACCGTGTTGCGCGCGGTCTCGAGAGCATTGACATTTTACCTCGTCGGTGCTGGCTTTGACCTCGGCCCCGAGGCGGGCTAACTCGTTCATCTTGTCATGCAGTCGTACACGAACCGCCTGAGGGATCACGTGGGCCAGGAGACGCCAGCGGAAAGGGGACCCAGAGGCTCGGGTGCGGGGCCAAAGGTCGGCGAGTGTTATAGAAGTTGTAGTGTTGGGGCTGGGCAAATTGGCTTACGTCAAGGAGGGCGATTTTTTGTGATAATGCAAGGTTAGCCCATGTTTTCTTCTTGGCCTCCAGCTCCGTAAGCGCCTGGTCGATTTCGGCGGGTGCATCATCGATGAGAGCTGGAAGGTCTACGGTCAACCTAAGGACGAAATGCAATAACATACGCCGATTGTTAAGACGGGGCAAATTTACTACAAATGTATGAATATAATATGTTATCCGCGCGAACGTATCTCGCGCTCTTTCTGGCAACGCATAGCGTACGCCACAAAAGACGTCGTACGGCTAACCCGTAGTGCGTGGGCAGAGCTAGCTTAGGCTAACGAGGCACCGCGGTCATGCTATTTCGATGTGGCCATACGAGACCGAATGGTCAAGCTGCAAATCTCTTTTATGAAACAACTGGTAGGGACTTCCGTACCAGCCCTCCAGCTTTTGTTTCTGGAGCTAGGGCAGATGCCGCTACAGCTGCACTGGGCTGAATCCGTGTTTCGCTTCTGAATAGCTTGGTGGAGGACACTAGTAGCGTATATCACAGCGCCTTTCGTCAGGAAATTCGTTTGGCGTTGGAAACGAATTTGCAGTCTGGTGGTTGGGGATCCAAAGTCATTCGTATCCTTAACCATTTAGAGCATGAGGTGAGGAATGAGGAAGCAGTCTTGGGAAGCATCGATGTGAGGGTTAGACGTTACTCGGCCTGCAAGCTTGATGTCGAAGCGCTGATGGACACCCTTAGGGCACGTGTCAACAACGACTGGGCGAATGACAGGCTGGCTGTGAACCCTAGAGTTTTCGCTACGGACGGTAGGAAGCCCGGCGTGAAGATGTGCCGTCATAAGCACTGGATGGGGCTGCCGAAGCCGTACGCGGGTTATATCCCCCCGGCGCATCAGCGTGCCCTACTCCGTTTTCGTTTGTGTGTCTCCGACTTGGCGGTTAACAGTGACAGCAACAGGGCTTGGGAGCATCGCGTGTGCGCTGCGTGTCGTAGCAATGGAGTTATTGAGGATGAGAAACATTTTTTGGTAGAATGCCCGGCGATTGTGTCTGCGCGACAGAAGCTCTGGGACCTCGATGTGCCCGTCAATGCGGATATCCGTGCTATCATGCAAGTGGATGATCAGCGCGGCCTTGCGAAGGCAATTTTTGAGATGTTTCGCTCACGGCACGAGCACCTAGCTACCTGACTTTCTCTGCGATACCAGGCAATTGTGTTTTTAGAGTCAAGTTGACGCTTTCCTTTCTCATAAACATTCGTTTTCTTCTTGCGTAAAACTGTTCTGTTTACTTTTTCTCTTTTTTTCCTATCGACGGCGCTGTCAAAGCGGTTCATGAGCCTCCGGGTTCGTTTGAGCCGTACGAGCTCGCTGAAGCTTGTAACATCTATAGCTTAGGTCCTAATTGTAAGAACTTGTCTTATTTTAATTATTGTATTCGTCTCAGTGACTATCCCGAGACTACAGTTGAGTGTACCGTTCGCATCAGAGGTCCGCAAACCCTGAATAACTGTCACGGGTACTGGTGCCAGGGTCGAATAACTGTATGGAAATTTTTTTGGTAAAAGCCGAGGAAAGGTCGTCAATCAAAGCTAGCATTTACCTCCTTGTAAAATGGAAGGTTTGGTACCCTAATGATGAAGTTCATAGCTTCAAAACTGCGCAAACCTGCCTTTTGGGGGGAATTTCTGCACCCTTCCATGCGGCTGCCGTACCAGCGATGAAGGATAGAGTTGAATTTCTGCAACGGGTACAACGGAAGGACCCGCTGTACCAGCGGCGTTTGCCGACCCCTGGTTCGCATTTGTAATTTTGAAGCGCTTACGTATAATGGGCTCAGGATAGCATCAAAGGGGCCCTCACTGTGATCTGTTTTGGTTCGTTGCTCTGGATACATGCATTTCGACGGTGCGAAAAAACATGGTCGAATATCGACAACCGTCGACAAGCGTGTTCAAAAGGCGCATGGCAGAGTTCTAGTTTAAGATGTCAATTTGCATGATGTATCTTCATTCATTGCCATGGCAGCAACTGGTCCAGTGGCCTTCAGATGGTATAATTGGGGCTGCAACTTCGCCGGCATAGGGAATACTGAAGGAATGGAAGACGAAAACCCGGCAGCGAACATCATCAACTTTTCCCTCTCTCAAGGATGAATTCCTTACGGATTTAAACCCAGCTGTTTCGCGTGCACATTATAACTGCTGAACCGCTCGCTGCAGGCTGTGCCGCGTTGCTACGTAATGTACCCGTGTATGTTCCTGAAAATGAGATCAGAATGGCAGACGGGATCGATCGAGTAGACTTAAAAAGCTATACAAGTCTACGGTGGTTTAACGGCAACACTACTATTGCATCGACCAGCATAACTCGAGCCAAAACACCGACTCCAGAGCAAGATCCAAAGAGATTTCGAATATTCACCTCCGTCGCGCACCACGACTCTTGACTGCGTCACCCACACCACGACCATCAGCACACATAGTCAGCGCACATGGTTGCAACCATCCAAGCGAAACCCGACAAAGTAGCTGTACTCCGCGGTTCTGGGACACTGAGATGTACGGGAGTGCATTATCAGTAGCATGCCTGGCGCATGGACGTCCAGCATAACAGCACTGCTGCACATGCTGCTGGCACCAACGCTGCTCGCATGGCGTCACATGTCAGTCCAGATCTGTCTACGCGGTTTTTCTCTGTACGCTATCTCTGTATGCTATACTAATGAACATGCGCTGTCCTACAGATGGCCAGCAAAACAGGTGCCAAACGTTGGCGAAACCTTGGCATGACCACAAACGCTCAGCAAGACCATGGCCGAGTTGGTGTTTTCAAATGACGTACCATAAAATGAACATCTGCCGGCCGCCGCCAAGCAGCACAGCACAGGTTACACTCATGAAACTTCAGACATGCCCGTGCAATAGAACTCCCCAAACTAACACCAAAAACAATTTCACTCGCTCCGCTCCAGTAACCAGTCAGCTATCGGCTTCAGCAGCTTCGGTCACGGATGGTAAGCCAGCTGAAACAGCCATGCATATCGTGGTAACAAATAATTCATGTGCAGATGCGAGAAGCCCCGCGTCAGGACAGGATATACAGGTCATCCAGCACCGGTGATGCCCGTTATTACGGAATGCGGCGGACCAAGCCGATGTCCGCCAAAGCCTAGCGCCCGAGCATGCGGCGGCTATGCCAGCCAAGCTGTGCCGGCCAAGCCGGCACAAAAAGTTTCCTTCCCAGCGGCAGACCAAAACCCTTATGAGGATGCAGACCTTTCCGCACCGCCGTTAATCGGCACCGCCCGCCATGCCGTTTACCCAAAAACCTAGCAATACGCACCTCTGCATGCCGATTACACGCGCTCTGTGCCACGAAAATACAAGTCTGGCTTTTCTGACGCTGCGCTTGCCCCGGACAGCAGGGGCTCCCGTTCTTGAATTCCTGCCTTTAATGCCCCACCCTCGTTGCGCGCAGCTGCCGCGGCTGCCATCTTCGCACGCCGCTTCGACTCCGAGTACATGAACACACCTGCAACAGTGATGGCGTAGCCTAGCGCCCCTTGCCCCGTTACCACATTCCTAAACACCGCCACCGACACAGCCGCTGCCACCACTCCCTTGGCGTTACCAAGCACCTGTAGCGTCAGCGGGCTTGTGTACTTGGTCACGAGAAAATTGGTCAAGTTGACGAAATATGCTAGGCTGCTGTTGCCAAGTAGCCAATACAAGAAACCACTTGATTTCGCAACAAGGTCCATAGCCGCTTGCCAGCTAGCTTGTTCAAGGACCGCTGTGAGCGGAAGGAGAATGGCGACGGAGACGCCTGACATGTACACCAGCAGGCTCATGGGGTCGAGCTTCTCGCTTGGGTCGGTCATGAGGAGGGACTGCAGCACGGACTTCAGCGCTCGAAGCGATGTGGCTATGAGGCAGCAGGTGAAGCCGATGACGCTGAAGAGAGGCTCGCCACCGCTGGCAACAATCACGCCACCCATAATGGGGATGAGGGAATAATATGTAAGGGCTGCCTCCTTTTGGCCTTGCATCAGATAGGCCAGGATGGCTGTGAAGAAGGGCGTCGTGGCACCTGCGTGAAGGAGGACAGCAGCGGGAAGCAGAAGCCCGGCAAACATTTTTTGCCATTTTTGTACGGATATGGCCTCTGTGCCAGGCTTCATCCAGTGGCCGAGCCAAGCAAAGGAGCAGGTCTCCAGCCCCAATCGCATTTGGTCGCGTGCCCATACCCCTTGTTGACTCTGACGGAGGAGCCCTTAGGCTGTCCGTGCTTCAGGTCTACAGATCGCGCGCGCAGGAAGGCATTCAGGCATCTGACCCAAGTGGAGAAGAGTTTTCCTTTTGGCTCAGGAACAGCAAAAGCTAAGATGCACTAAAACAGATGTGCAAAGCCAGCTGCGGGCCAAGGACACCACTTTGAACTTGCTGCCAGAGCCCCCTGTCACCCTCCGTGAATAATTAAACCATCAGACAGGTCCCCTCCACATCCCATGGCTCGTGTATTGCATCATGGGGCGAACCCCGAAATTTTTTGAACTTACCAATAGCCTGGTTGAACGAAACTGGGATGAACTTTAAACTGACGTTGCCCAGGACTACCGTAGTGCAGAAGACAGCTGAAAGGATCACTATCTTGTAGGCTTGCTGTCTAGACTTGATTGGTTTCAGAGGTAAAACTTGAGAAACTGACGCCAGCAGCCCGATCGATAAAGATGCTAGCATATGACATAGTGTCAGGAAAACGGGGTAATGGAATCCCGTGCTGGAGAGAAGATACTTGTTGAGGATTAGCACGCCGATGTTTGAGCAATACCATGAGAGAATTGCCAAACTGGTCACCAAAAATGAGGCAGGTTGGCTAGTTATCACGGCACCGCCCGACATGGTGCCCTTTGCACCGGAATTGATGATAGCAACCTCGCTTGAAATCGGGAACAATAAGGCTTTTGTGCGAAAATACGCCCAGGGAAATATTGATACTGACCGTATTTGGCCTATCCGCCCGCATCCAGAGGGCATCGTACTGAAGTTGAATTTCATGGTGATTTATAGTGTGGATGTCGGACATTCGGCCTGAACTTGGCCTCGGGGATGTACGGCAAATCGACTGCATGAAATTTTCATTTCGCGCGCTGCATGCATCGACCATCGCGCTCGCCTGGTTCAGGTGGAATAATTACTTGCTGCCGGCTACTAATCTAAGGTTGTTCTCTAAAAGGTTGTTCTCTGGGTCTTAAGGAGGATAGCGTCATTAACGACCTTTGGACTGACATGTTGCAACTGTGTACAACTTCCTTCGGCAGAAGGGAAGGAACAACAGAGAGGCACAAAGTAGCAACGGCCGAAGTTACAAAGGCAATAGAGTGCATAGCGGTTGCAAAATTCGTTAAAGCGACTGGAGGCCACCGAAAGTTACACCATCGAGGCACACCATGGCGAGCTCGTCGCCTCCCTGATCGAGGCGCCTGATCGAACGTTTGAGTTACCCTTCATTTAACGAAAGCGCTTGAACAGCGCAACACACCATCGAAGGAGAACGGCGATGGCCTATACGATAGCCTGCACAAGGCCAAGACCCTCGACTATTCGCCACCTGGCCACCAACCACCGACCAACGTCGCCATGCCTTAGTCACCCTACCCAACTACCATGCATCATCAATCCGTTCCTTCACGGACTTCTTTCCGTCAGGCAAAGCCTGCTGCTCCCGTCGCTCAAGCATCTCCTTGTACTCCTCCTTGGGAACCTTCTTCACCCGGAACCATGGCGAGCCTGCATAATTTTGATTCATGAGGGCACAGGAACCGTGCGGATACACGGCTAATATAGGCGTTGCATGTCGGTCGCTGTCAATTCCGTTCAGGTAAGTGTTGCGTAAAGACCTTGCGCACATAACACAACGCCCGATTCTTACACCGACAGCCAACCCGAACATAGCCCACAAACCCAGCGCCTCAAACCCGCATGTATACGATGCAGTATCCTCAGGACTCCTCGCGCAAGTCATTCATACTATCCCAACAAAGTATAATGCCGCCATCTCACATTTTTTGCTTTAGCAGGATGTGCAAAGCCACCGACCCACCTGGTGACTGGCTCGGCATGTAAGGCTCCGTCTCAGGCTTCTTGAACCGCCAAGACGGCGTCTCCGTCAGGAAAGCATCACCGTCCATGATGTTGCGCTGAATCAAATCTTCGCTGTCCGTCACAAACTCTTCCTTGCCCTGAATGCCCCAAAAATGCGCGTCAGATGCAGGACGGAAACGAGACAAAATTAGGGAAGGTAACAAGCGAATGATGAACGCACCCTACCATGGGGCTGAGTAATAACGCTGCCTGCTAGAAGGCAAGGTATGACCGATAACTTCGGGATCTCAAGATTCTGGTGCTCTTTTGTAATGGGCAAAACTCAACATAATTTGGGACCCTTCCGGGGGACTAATACACCTTACCACCGCGCACCAAGTGTCCAAGGCCCCGCACATCAGGGACAAGGCCTAGAAAAGCGGACAACAGCTACAGCCGCAATATTTAAGTTAAATAATGCAATTTATGAATATTACAGTTATATATATAGTATAAATACCTGCCAAGCGGTGATAACAAGGTCAGCCAAAAATCTGGCCCCGATGTAGCAAGCAGACAGCAAACATTGAGAAATGAAACCCGCAGTCCTAAAACATGCCATCCCTGGTGAGATGCACGTCGACCCAGATCGGATCAAGTGCCAATCCTAGCATCGGGGCTATGGCGTCCACCAGCGATTCCCATCGCTGGGATTGAAATGGCCCCACCCAAAACACTGTTGCAACCTCCGCTCGCTCGCATCGCGTGCCACTCATAAGGCTATACACGCATGTGAAGAGGTGCGCCTCGTTCCGGCCCACCGTCCCTGTCCCAAAATCCAAGCAAGGATTTTCCCTTAAGGCTGCTTGCCTGCCATCCAAGACCCCTGACAACTAGCAACGCCCACCAGCAAACTTACCCAGTGTGCTGGGTCCCCAACATCGCCACTGGCACACAGCAGCACCCTTTTACAGGTATAGCGTTGTGTACAATATGAAGTAGATAATGATAGGTATCAAGAAGTGAAATATAGCCCGGTCCCCCAGAAACAGTAAGGATGCTTTTACCGGCAACAGAAACGCACCCGGCCATTCCTTAACCCTCTCCTCTCCTGTCCTCCTACACCTTCGCCTGCCTCACCTTGGGGAACTTTTTTAGGCTCCCCTTGACGTTGAACACGGCCTCCTCGCCGCCAACGATGTGGTCAATGATGCCGTACTCCTTGGCCTCCAGCGGGGACATGTACCGGTCGCGATCCGTGTCTTCCTCAATCTTGGCCAGTGGCTGCCCGGTGTAATCAGCCATGATGCGGTTTAGGTTGGCCTTGTGGTACATGATTTCCTTAGCCTGTGAGCGACCAGGAAAGGCAAAACCAACAGAAAGGAAAACGACGTGGGTGCTTGATGCAGGGATGTCCAACAGTTTGGACCTTTGCCTTTATGCAAACAGAGCTTAAGACAGCTTTGACTTGATTATTTTTTCTGCTTGGTTTGTGAAGGACGAAACGCCGAAGCGAGAAAAGCGTTGGCCACAGATCAGGTCTGCCACGGGGCTGGGTGCAATCGGTGTCAGAGCAAAACATGGGATAAGCGATGCTGGGAAGGCCGCTGGGAACCACCACCAGCACCACAATCACTGCGCTTCCAGGAGGGAGGTGATGGGCAGCCCAGAGGTGTGTGTAACGGACCCGAGCGGAGCCGGGTAGCGGAATTTCCGTCTCTGGTGACCATCCTTTGACTCGGGGCTAAAACACGAGGCTCGAGAAACCAGGCGAGTGAAGTCCCAGTAGGGACAGGGCCATCAGGTCAGGGCCGATGCATGGTGAGACGCTCAACAAGGAGACCCACGCGGCTGCGAGGAGGTCGTGGAATTAGGGCGCTCTGCAAGTGAGTGACCCCCGGCCATCTTTTGACTGACATGGTGACATGGCTCGAGACAGCGGATTGCAACGAAATTGCAACCACTCCGCACACAAGCGAAAAAGGATAAAGACAAAAGTTACGTAAAAACGAACAGTCAACGACCAGAGGCTCTTTCTACAGAACCAATGTCGAGCCCACTTTGCAAAGGCCTCTGCCAGCAGGACGAGTTCAGTGGTCTCTTCCTGCCTGGGCAAGACAGGCCGTAGCGCAACTACCGGGAGCACAACGTTATATGCACACAGACGCACAAACACGTGTGGGGGAATCGGCGACTGGGCCAGCAGAAAGGGTAGGTACTAGAGGTTGTGTTGCAATCTCCTGAACCCCAACTACAGACACCGTAAGTCTGCAACGACAACTCTGCAATGTCTGCCCCCGAAACATCGCCCGGGTTAAAAACAAAGGCGGAATCGTTTCCACGGGTGTGGCGCTGCCGTGCGTTTGTACGAACGAACGAATCACATTCCATTCTGGCTTCACAGGGCACCCGACGAGGGCAAGAGGCAAGTAGCCGTTCATGAGCCGTGTACCCCTCTCCATCTCTCCCCCCCCACACGCACACACACACCCCAGGGGCCCCCGAGCAGGAGACCCTCCCCCCACAATATACACACACTCTCTCCCCGCATATTCTGCCGCCATCCCACGCGCTTAGCCAGGCTCTAAGCCACTACGCGGTGTAACGTTTTGACCACTGCGTATGTCAGTAGGCCGTTGCGTGGGCAGCCGGGGGGGCACTCCTGCAGGCGGCAGTCCGCTGCAGCCGTTGCCTGCTACTGCGGGATATCGGGACCCTCTTCCGTGTCGAGGCCAACGCGCTCGTCCCGCTAATCCCATAATCCTGATACCTAAGTGTGCGTGTATGAATACGTGCATAAATAAACAGCGCGAGCTCACATTTCAGGAGGAGCTATGGGCTGCTCGCAACGCTTCTTCAGCGGATTATCATTCTCGCGATAGTGGGCTACGGCTATGTGACAGCTGATGCCACCAAACCGCCAGCAATGCCACCCAACCGGACCGCAATCACCCGCGTAACCCGCCACAGTCGGTTGCCATCCTACTTTCATGAAGCATGAGAAGACGTGGAATTCGCGGGGAACAGAAAAAGTGCGGCCACAATACGCAATACTGTTTTAAGGCCTCGTGCCGGGGGCCCCGATAGCGGATTTCATCGTGAGGTAAAAAGAATGCAGGAGAGGATGAGAACTGGGGGGGAGGTCCCAACTGGTTACGCGTTCCGCACAATCACAGTGCAGCAGCCCTCTGGCCCTGTGCTATGGCGCTACGTGCACTGCAGAATTCAGGGGCATAACCCACAGACCACATCCGCACATCCTTGACGAGGCAATTCGTGGCAGCAGGGGTGCACTTGGGACAAGGGGATATAACACGTTTCCGTCGCCGCAAATAGTAGGATTCAGCCCCCTTGTTCTGCCCGTAGCTAAATCTCGCTGTGATTGCATGTGGATTTCTTTGGGATGCGCGGTGACGGTAAAGAGATTCAAACCCACCTGGATTTCAATGTCCACGGCCTGGCCGCTGGCACCCCCCAGGGGCTGGTGAATCATGATGCGCGAGTTCGGCATGCTATGGCGCTTGCCGCGCTTTCCGGCACCCAGTAGAAAGGCGCCCATGGATGCGGCGAGGCCAAAGCAGTAGGTGTGCACGTCCGCGCGGCAGAGCATCATCGCGTCGTAGATGCCCATGCCCGCCGTTACGGATCCACCTGCGTCCCCAGGTGTTTATTAGAACCAGTAGGCGTGTGCAATGTGCGGGTTTTAAGGCTTAAGCGCAAGCAAGCCGGCGCCCGGATGTGCAGACGGCGTTCCGCGACTTGAGGTTGCACGTACCCGGCGAGTTGATGAACATCTTGATGTCCTTTGTTGGATCTTGTGAGTCTAATAGCAGAAGTTGGCTAATAAGAGCGTCAGCGCCGAAGTCCTCCACCTCGCCGCCCAGGAACACTATGCGCTGCCGCAGAAGAAGGCCAAAAGGGTCACCCTGCATCTCCGCAGTCCTTGGTGCCACAATGGGCTGAGAGTTTGCTTGGATCCATGGGCGGTCCCAGCCCTTGGGCTGCTGGCTAGAGTGCTGTGGAGTCCAAAGCTGTGCGCGCACACGCAACCCAGGCACTCGCCGTCTGGTGGATCCGTTGGCAAGGGGGCATGTGCCCTGAAGCCCGCCCAGAGAGGCGGTGACGACCATTGCACTGTCTCGCAATGCTCACTAACGGTGCCTCGTAAAAATAGTGGCGGCAGACGAGAGCGCAAAGCGACCTATAATTCACGTCGCTGTAGCGATCAGTGCAAAATAATGTCCATCGTCCTTTTCCTTTTCTGGCGTTCAGCGTTGTGTACTGCATGCCGCCCAACCCTGGTTGCAATGTGCAGCGTGCGCTAGGTCCATGCTAGTCTTTGTCCCTCCCTTAGGTGCTGAGTACCATATGAAATAGTTATTATTACAGCCATCTGTGTCTGGACAGGAGCGGAGTGCGGGTACCGAACTGATGTTTATATTTACCAACTTCTCGCTTTTAATGGCTTAACTTTCTGTGAGGGGACATATCCACCCTATGCTTGATAACATTTGTTTGGTGATAAGCCGACACAGAGCGGTCATACTGGTACACGCTGCACACCCATCGTGTCTTCTTGCCCATTCAGCTGGCACTTGATGGCCGCGAATGAATTAAATTTGAACCAACTTCGGGTGAGTCGCTGGCAGCTTTCCGCGGACGGCCTGCGGAGCTTTGGGCTGTACTGACCATCTGACGACCCCTGGCAGCGCCGTGTCAGTGCTCTACGCAAGCCTGACCTCATCGAATGCCTGGAACGGCTCGGCATGCGAAAATCCGGGAATAAGCCAGAGCTCCAACAGCGGCTGCTGGACATCTTTGAGGATTCTTACCACCTGTAAGCCCACAACTCCCGCACTCTGCACAACCAGCTCATTAAAACCGTGATGATTTCCAGGCCGCCGTGTCTTTTACCTTGTTGTTACGGCTTCGGGACGGCTTGGTTGTGCACCGGGGTCGTGCAAGGACTGAGAGCCGGCCCAGTATCAAAGTACCGATTCCGAAACTCCTCTCGCTTTACACGCCAACGTCCATATGGTAGCGACCGAACGATATCAAGTCGACAAACTCTTCCTTGCGCACTTAGGAGGGTTCCTCCCTTGGGGGTCGCCGACGCCGACGCTCTTTTGCGCGGGGCGTTTTGGGGATTGCGGGATCCTGCAGACATCCACCATGCATGACGCAGGACGAAGCAGAAGCAGGACGAACACAGCATCTCAATCAAATCAAATCTTCGGCATGGCTACCCGAAGCTGGACAACAAATCCTGTGCCAGCCTTGCTGGGCACCCTTCCCGAGGCACCAAACCCCTCCCCGGGGGGTTTGGTGGGGAAACTGTGCTAGCAACTCCCCGCCTCAAAACCCCATCTCAGCGCAAGCTACATGCATACATACATACATACATACGTGCGCAGACAAGACACGCGAAGGCCCTTAGCATCTTGAGGCACACTCGCCCTCTTCCCCCCGGCAGCGTCAACAACGGACACGGACCCCCTCGGGATGTCTGCGCCTGACGCGCACAGCGCAC